TCTCTCTCTCCCTCTCTCCAGTACATTCTTGAGTAAAGACAATCCCACAAAGCTTACCCAGACACATTCGCACACATTGATGAATTCACACAGTCATAAATTCTTACAGAACAGAACAGCATGAATAAACGATGCTGAGAGAACATAATAGATTACTGAGAGAATATATAATATTTGTATTGGGAATGTCGGAAATTACAGATTGAAGCTGGACTGAAACAAATGCGTTTTAAGTGCTGATTTAAATTTTGATAAAGAGGTGGACTCCCGTAGATGAGCTGGTAAAGTGTTGTATTGTATTGAGTGCTGCCGAATTTCCGCTGGGATGGTGTATCCCACTCAGCCTAGATTGGTCCATGCATGCAAGGCAGAATCAGCTTGCTCCCTTAGAGGCGTATCTACGGGACACAGCCTCGAGACAAACTCAAAAATAGTTATATTGACAGCAATCTTATTTTACATAAGTTTACCCTAGATCTCGATTCAATTGAAAAGAAGCGAAATCAAATTCATTAGTAATGAATTTACATTTATTGTCCAATATAAAAATTACAACTGCACTTTCCTCGATTTCACTGATGTATATTGTCAATGAGGAGGTGGCGACCGGCCTTTGCCGTTGCACGTAGACTAGAAGATGAGTTCAATTCACGTGTGTGGAGATTTTTTTTGTGTTAAATCGAGTACATGTACCTCGATCTTTCTGTAGGGACGTTGTATCTATGTCAGTTCGGATTGGCTCAGACAGACAGAGTCGAAAGCCGACCCCTTTATCATATCATTCCGATCTAAATCATGTTGACAGGGGTGTAAAACACCTACATTTTTTTAAACATTATGTGGTCAGTTCTCGAATTTTTCGCTCAGTTGCTTTTCTTCCAAACCTGAGCCAAGAAAATTTTCATGAGAATCATAAGAATGAAACATGAAATGTCACTATTCAAACGATTCCTAAATAAGTAACAAGCACTGTGCGTGGGCACCGTCGGAGCCCAGTAGAGAGAAATACCAAAGGAAATTAGTCTTTTTAAAAATAGTTTTAGTAGTTTTACGGCACTTGCAATACAATAAGGTCATAGAAGTGCCGAAGATTAGAGGTGTTACAAGAGAGTAACAAACACAAAAAAGGAAGGAGGGGAGATAGAGACGATAGATTTTTTAAAGGAAAGAAGGAGCAAACCACACCAGAGCACCCACCAACCACCCACCAACCACCCACGGAAATTAGTCTAACAGAATAAAGTCGAGGAGAAGAAGAAACGATGGTTAATTATGATGGCTTCGGAAAGCAGTAGCCGTTTGGATGAGACGCACTATAAGACTGGGTTTTTTGTTACCCTATGCTATCAAATTATTAGGAACAGTGAGTGCACTGTTTTGGAGCTTTTAAACACGACGCATTACGTTGTTTAAATGTTATTCATACTGATTTTTCAATTATGTTTTACTTTATCTGAGCCCCCCCCCCCCCTCATTTTTTTAATTTTTAAAAAAAATTATAATGAATGAATGAATGAATGAATGAATGAATTGGTTGATAAAAACAGGCAACATAATTACAATGAAATATATATGCAAATTCATCCTTCTAACTTCTAACACGTGTATGAGGGATCAAAATGTGCCATGACATTGCCTAGGTCTGCTGATAATCAGACATCATATGTCTGTTATGTTGTTGTAAAGAGTAAACACCCTTTTCAACAGTGCTTACCTTAATTCCTTTTTTCATAATATAATTGCCGAAGATTAGAAGTGTTACAACTTATTACAAGTGAGTAACAAACACAAAAAAGGGAGGGGAGATAAAGATGATAGATACTTGATAGGAAAGGAGCAAACCACACCAGAGAACCCGCCAACCACCCACTTACCTAAATTCAAGAAGCAGGACTTCAGAATGTATTGTAATGTTTATCTGAACTGAACCACATGGGTAGCGGGCTTTAACAACTCTCCAACAACCCACATTCAAGAATGCATGCATTGAGAAGTCGAAACTGTGTCCTCCACTTCGTAGGCCAGGATTATATACCAGCTGCGCTTAAGGTGCTCCTCCTACTCTGGACTTGGCATGATCAGATAATAGTAGAAGTTTGACACCCCCATCGACACGATTTAGACCATACAGAAAGCATACTCAGACCCTTAAGATTATTAAATACGTTTTTCACATACTGTTTAGCAGCAATATATTTAAACCATACCACAAGCATTGCAGTATTGCAGCCATTGCCAGCAGACAACCACAACAAACGGACCAAAAATCATATTTTTGGACAATTAAACTTTAATTACATTGTATGCAAACAAAACAGAAAAGCTTTTGGAATTGATGGATCAAATAGCAATAGAAAGATTTATTTAAATTAAAAAAGCAAAGCGTGAATCCCAATACACATGAATACATGTATGTCATAAATAATTGCATACCTGATAAATTACCTGAAAAATGGTCAAAATTGTCAGTCAGTATCGCATGCAATCGATGTCATGCAAACCAGTTCAATACTTTTTGGCTCTTTGCAAAATTTGGAACACAGTGGATGTCAGAAGAAAAGGAAAAGACGCTTCACCCTTTGACTAATGGAAATTTCATTTTTCTTCAATGAATAATGATACTGACAGAGACTGCATGCCAAACTGATGTTTTTAAACAAGAATCATACGTAAAACCAATGGAAACAACAAATCAAAGCCTACAATAAAACCCACAACCTGAGGAGAAAAGAGAGGCGTATGGGTACAAGACCTCTTGAAAACTACAAACATGAATCATGGCTCAATATATGTAAAAGATAATGTCCCATTCTAGAAAAATTGTAACCCATTAAAAAAACTAAACATTTCTATTCTTGGCCAAGAACAGGCCCAAAAAGAAAAAACTGATATTTAGCAGGGGTTCTGTCTGTTGCAGTATCATAAAGGGGTAGTCATTTACTTCAAATATTCTTAAACAATCATTTACTCTTGATGTCAAACTGTTGGAGACCAACACCAAAAAGAAGTTATGATGAGTACACTTTGGTGAGCAACTTCATTACTAAACTTCATTACTATTGTTATCTTATAGAAACAGAAGACCACTGTAAAGTAAACAGTAATTCTATAGAATATCCTCTACAATTCTATAGAATATCCTCTACTCTAAACAAACAAGAATAATTAACATCCCTGAAGTGCCTTTAGGCCCTCAACCTTTATTTCTCCTTGAAAAGGTACAAATATCCCACATTTTATAATTATAAACAGCCGATGAAGAAAATTATTTGACATGATATAATATAAGAAATTTCTGGCCTTCATGTCAGTAACTTATTGGAATGTACAACTTGAAGCCAGCTGAGATCTCATATGTGGATGATCTATTAATGGGTTGCTATGACCACAATTAATGTGAAGAGCCTTTGTTCAACTAAAACTTTCATGGTTAACACCCCTAATAAGCAGAAGGAGATTGAGACTTCAGATTTTCGCAAGTGACAAATAATTTAAAGCAATTTTACACAACTTGAAGAAAACTTAAGACCACAAACAGCTTACGGAAACCCCTGTTTGACACAGAAGAGAAACAAGGGGACAAAATGATGAACAGACTTATCTTCAACACTAATATTCCATTTTACATGACCAATCTGAAGTTAAGAAATTTTATTTGAAACAAACCTTTAGAACTGATGAACTATCCATAGCATAGCTCTCACCAGACTCCAAGCTTTACATACAAGAAAATCTGTGAGCAAATTTAAATTACAACTAAAAATATCTCAAAATAAATACAGGTACAATGGTATGTAGACAAAATAAAAGAATTAAAACAAAGCAGGAGTAAGATCAGTAAGTATCTCAAAACAAACAAAACAAAAGTTCAGATAAAAAACAAAAAGTGAAGCAGACGGAATCAAAGAACCAAAACACAGCCAAATAAAGATTGGTTTTCAACATAAGTTTAATATAAATTTATAAATAATAAAGAGCACATGGTCTCTTTCAAGTAGACACGGCTTTCTTTCTCTTCTTTCCTCACAACGTTATGAGGCAAAAGAAAAGAGAAAGGGACGGTTTTTGCAGTCAGGTTGTAGTTTACAAAGAATTTGCACACAAAAAAACAGGAACACCCACTCATAAAAACCACAAAAAAACTTGAAAAAAGATTTAGAAAAAGAAACGGTTCATGTGCCAAAAGAACAATGTGTTCAGAGTCACCAAGATACACTTGATAAAGTCTCTTGTAGCTGATAATTGATAACGCAGAAGGGCCCTTAAAGTTTGATACAAGGTTATTTATAGATGTGTATTTCTTGAAATAGAAAGCTCAAGCGACTTCACAATAACTCCAAGCTATTTCCAGTTTACCATCTCAGTCCTCACGGGGACAAACAGTATTGCAGCATGTTAGAAGCACACCTTAATCTTTCACGTATTGTGAGTTAAGATTACATATGAACTAATATCAAAGTAATATAAAATTTATATCCCATACCTGTGTATTCCTAATGTGTAGTTCAATAATAAAGTGAAAGAGAAACGACATTGATATTGAATCTTTGCGTCTGTCAGTAAACTGTAAAGTGTAGTTTACAGGATGATATGCTATAGAACATTATATGAGTATAAAGAGAAAACACACACAAAAACTGTGCTCAGCTATTGAAATTGAAAGCAAAAAAGTTTTGGTAAAGAAACTAAATGCACAAATCATATATCATAAATGTTCATACATGAGAGGGAGCGACCGAATGCAGACTCTACTAAAAGAAGAAAAAAAAAAAAAAACCTTCACCATTCTATAAAGGATTGCTACTAGAAGCAACCAAGTCTAATTGCTGATTTTTATCAAGCATTCACAGCTCTGTTCAGCTTTAGAGCATTGTTGTATAAGACGTGAGTATTGAATAAATGTTAATGCCTTTTTAACATTACCCTTACCAAAAAACTATACTGTATGTTCCTTTCAGAACAAGACAAAATTTGAAAGACTGGATTACAGAAAAAAATTCTTGGCAAAGAAAGTAAAAGGCAAATCTTACAAAATAATACTAAAAGTGAAAAAAAATAACCTAAGCCATACAAAATTTGTCCAAAATTTTTTTTAGATACTTCACATGATAGAATCAGTGACTGAAAGAACGAGGTTTGTAAGGCGTACAGTCCCCATAAAAAAAGTCATAAACTTTTTCAGAACTTTTCTGATCACCTCTAAACAGACCAAACATTTTTTTAAAGGCTTACTTCATACCTCCAGATGGAAAAAAGGCAATTAATTTCCACTGGGTACCATTTCAGTCAAAATGCTTCAGGCGCTTTTCTAATCACCTCTAAACAGATGTAAAAAATAGTTTAAAGGCTTACTCCATACCTCTAGAGGGAAAAAGCCAATTAATTCCCCCCTAGGGAACATGTAGTCTGAAGGCAAAGTTAACTTGACATCCTTTTCAATATAAAAGAAGCATATCTGACAAATTTCCATCAAACCAATTTTATTGTTCATCTTTCCTACACACATTCCCAGTAATCATTTCTGCAGCAAAAGTCTGCACCTGAAATAGTATCAATATCAATATTTTAACGCTTTAAAAGAAAGGGAACTTGGCAATCGACTAGAACAATCTTAATCCCAACGCACTGTGAATATATAATACGGAATTACACACAAAAATATGTCCATTGTTCTCAGTTATGGTGGGTAAAATAGGATCAGTCGATACATTTAAAGGAAAAAAAACAACCCCACGAAAACCAGGTATTTCTTCCGAAAGCTCAGTCTCGTTTGTTCTCAGACACAGTGACAAACTTCATGTTGTGCTTCTCCAAGCGCTCGATCAGATCTGTGTCCCAGAAGGCACTTCCAGCAGTCATGACGCCTCCTCTGAAGACAAAAACATACAGAATAAAGCGTTATAAAATGAAGAGACAAACAGACTTCATACCATGAAAATTATAGTCATAAAGTGGGGAGCACAAAAAGAAAAGAACATTGACATGTTGTTGTTGTTAGCGATCAAGTAGCATCTGAGCGTTAACTCCTCTACATGATGCCATTCTGTAATAGCTGCATGTCTGTTCTAATTGTTGTCTTGAGGAGTAGAGGCAATTAGATGTGTGGGGTAGCTTGGGAAAATAACATCCTCTCAAATCGGTTAGTTTTCTACAGAAGAACAGATGATGTTCCATTGTCTCAGAGGGGTTGCCACATAGTGGTCAGGCAGCAGACTGCTTTACTCCAATTCAGTAGAGATGTTAATTGAGAGGCACATGTTGTGTTCTTAGTTGGAAGATTATGGAGATATCTCCCCTCCTCAACTCATTGATTATGAACATTGACATGATGCTGGTAATTCTATGACCAAAAAAAAAAGCATGACAGACAGGAAAAAACTGAGTGATTTTGAAAATGGGAGATGTTCAACTTCAACTTTTCTGAAAGCCAAAGAGCCTAACCTTACACCAAAGATGTCAGCAGTTTGGGTAAGAGACTTAATTCTTAAAAAATAGAGGCAGCAGCAAGCAGTTAACAATTAGGGAAATAAAAAAAATATATATATAAAAGTACACCAGAGCCTACGTAGAGACAGGAAAATTGCCCCCAACAGCATCTTTTAAGACAAACTTATTAATACAAATGCTAGCAGAGGAGAAGTGTACAGAGCTATAAGTTCTGAAATTTAAAAAAGGCTGTTGCCTGACAGTATTCACTTACGGCTGGCCAAACTTGTCCTTGCACTTCAGCACTGTGACAGCAGACTGAACCATGCAGATTGGTGTGGTGACATACCCTGGTTCTGAGGGAAAAAAACCATAACATTCCACTATAGTACTTTTATTTTGGCTGAGTTAACAAGGAGTCTCGAAAAGAGAAGACAGTCAAATCAACAGATAAAAAGCAAAGAAGTAGCCCTTTCCTACCTTATACCCATAACAATAAAAATGTTAAGTTTTAGAAAATAATCCAACAGATGTCACTGGGTGTCTGTCTCTTTTCATGAAATCATAAGAAAATTCAAGATGGTCGCCATGGTGACCACATTTTTTGCGAAAATTAAAAAATTCTTCTAACATGTTCTTTATATGACCCTTCAATGTCACTGTCGTCATGTTTCAAGATACTGTTGTCATGAACAGCAGAAATACTTAATCTATTAATGATTGCCTTAATATAGATATATCTAACTGTGCACCCTTTAAATGATTCTGAACCACCGTTAATTTTTTAAAATTAGAAAGTTAAGTGGTTCGGAAGTTTTAGACGACCAAAGTGACGAATTTTCACAAATATAATACAATTATTATTATTACTATTATACCATTAACAGCATAACAAAGAAATTGCATAATCAATCAATCAAAGTTAATCGAATGCACAAATGCAAGAGTTTTTGCATTTTTAACAATAGGTGCTTCTACTTTAAACACTCCACTTCAAACACAGCGAGTTAACATTTAAAAATTTACGAGTTGCAAAGTTCAATTTCGTATAAAAAGAAACAAATCAGTTTGTTTTTAAAATCCTGCAAACTGATTTATTGTCAGCTGTCAACAATACTTGTATGCTCCCTTAATGAAAATAGCAATGGGAGGGCAAAGGCTTTTGTTTGACTCAGTTTTGGTCAAGGGCAAGGCCAAAAGAGACTATACCAAGAGATAGAACAAAACTGAAAGCAGTATCTAGCTGTTTCTTCCTTTACCTGGACCCATAACTTTGGTGATGACAATCTTGTTCGGCTTTTGTCCACTTCTGTCCTTCTCCACATTAGGGTAGCCATGTCCAACAAATGTCATGGCGAAGGATGTAGAATCAATCTGAGACAAAGGGAATTGAATCACTTTAGTAATATAAATGCCATGACATAATTTAAAGGTCACTGTAACTAATTGGAACTTTTGCACCAGCAGGATAAAGGGGCAAGCCCAGGACAGGGAAAGGTAGAAAGGGATTTTAAATGGCCTATATGCAGGGTGAGAAAGGTAGTTAAGTTTTTAGTAAGAGTTTTACGGCACTTGCAACACAAAAAGGTCAAACGAGTGTCAAAAAGTAGAGGTGTGACCACGGAGCAGCAATAACAAAAAAAGAGGAGAGATAAGGATAATAGATGTTTTTTGGGGTTTTTTTTATAGTAGAGGGTTTTATGGCGCTCGCAACTGCATAAGGTCATATGAGTGCAAAAGGGTGAGTGTCAATAGAGAAGTCTTTACAGGGAATCAGACTTAGACTGCTCACCTCTCTAGCTTCAACAGCACAAGGTCTGCTTCGACTATCAAGGCACCCCAAAATAGCAGGTCACAAGGGAGTGGCAAACATACAAAAGAAGTAGAGGTAAATGACAACAGTAAGGATCAGGAAAAAAAAAGCAGCAGTTCCCTGTTGTAGATCAGGCACAGTAATGAGCGTGACATGACTCAGCCCATTTACAATTCTACTATGCTTGAACGAGATATGTCCCCCCTTTGGGAATGGCCTAAAGACACTTCAGTCAGTGGCACTACCTCGTGAACGAGATATGTCCCTCCTTTGGGAATGGCCTAAAGACAGTTCAGTCAGTGGCACTACCCTGGGGGGTTTATAGATGTTTGATAGAGGAGAGAAGGAGCAATCCACACCAGAGCACCCGCCAACCACTACACAGTTTAAATTATTCAGAAGGCAGACTGCTTCAACCCTGCTTGTCAAGCCAACCCAAGTTGAGTGGGATACAGCATCCTAGCAAAGATATCTAATAAAATAAAAAATTTGAACTCACATCCACAAGTGACAGCGAAGAGCCTAGCCACTACTACATAGATGCCAGGCAACGTGATTTGTTTCTTAGCATTGGTAATGATTTATAGCAATCAAACAGGCTGGCGAACATTGTAAAAAAATATGTCAAAAGCAAGAGAAATACAGTACAACACAGCTATAGCGGGACATTTGGTTCCTGAAGAAAAATCCCGCTGTTGGTGAGTTCCCGCTATAGGAATGCAAAGGGGAAATTACCCCAAAATTTCTAAAAATCCACATGATTACCTCCTTCCCATATTAATTAAACATGTGATTTAGATTAATCTTCCTTTTCTTGTCAACTTCATTGATTATCTCGGCCTTTAATTCAAGTGAGAAGCATTTCCTTTTGTCTTTGTTGGAAGCCATCTTTTCATCGGTCTCGTTGCTTGTGTTGTCTATCATACCAGTAGGCCTACTGTAAAACTGGTGAAGTGGATGCATGCGTATGCCTTATGAGCATCAACGATCGCAATTCAATGAATCAGGAATCACACCCTACACGCTCTCCTCTTCTTTTACTTTTGGCATAGCCTAGGCTGGGGCTGTGGCCTATATGCTTTCAATACTGAGCGTCTAAGCTACGGCACATCACTTTTGGAGTGGCTCACAAAACGCCTCTCTCCACACCATCTCTCTCTGCCGCCTGCCCCACCTCACATCACTGGACTGGCCAATCACAGCACCGCACCGTTGACTGCCTGTTTAGAGCCTGCCTACAGCCCCCGAACCCCCTTAACCCCAGCTAGAGCTCGTTCGAACTCTCCCGCTGTATCCAAGTTCGAGCCTTTCCTTGCCCCGCTAAACCCAAGCACAGGTAATTGAGTTTACATAGAGAAAAAAAAGGCGGATTCTGGTAAGGTCCCGCTGTAGGGATGGTCCCGCTGTAGCGGGTGCCACTATAGTCATGTTCTACTGTATACGGCTTATCACTGAGTAATAAATAATGGTTCAAGGGAAAGAACCTACGGTCAAATTTTATACTGAGTTGTACCCCTTGCCTTTTACAGTTTAATCTGACCAAGACAGAATTGCAAGGGAGCCAAGAAAAAAATTCGATCTTAGACATTTTCTATTTTGGAAACGGCATTTCAATTTAGGGGGGAAGGTCATGGGTGGGGGTTTGGGTTCCAGAAGGCCAGCCCATATGTGGTGGAATCAAGGGTCATCTGTCTAGTCCGCATACGTCAGTCTAACATATTCATTGCCACCAGTTCTTGCATCTAATAGGACCACCATTTGCCCAATGCCACCCCTGTCCTGAATGTAACCACGATTAGAAATGCAATGGAAACAAATTTGAGATTTTTCTTTGTTTCAAATCAGGGCTGAGTGGGCAAAGACAGGTCAAAACCCTCCGAAAGAAAGGAATTTTTCTTTCCAGTCCAAGGGTTGGGCAGGTTTCCGTTTTATAGAGGGAATTATAGAGGAATTACTGAAGGGGGGGAGGGGTGAAAGGGAGATTCCGTTCTGACATGTTTATGACTCGGACAGGTGTCTTTTAAGGCACGTTCAACTGTACTTCAATTTTTTTAACCTTTTCTCTTCATTGAATCTCATGTGATGAAAATGCCATGATACTGCGGTAAAAATGCCATAGTAATGAGTAAAGTGACAAAAGAATACTAGGCAAACTTTGAAAAAAAAAATTTTCTTCTGGAAAACTGGAAGTCCCTCTTCGAATACTTTTTCCCCCTCAAAATAAAGAACCTGTAATTTAGAGAAAAAAACGTTGCAGACTTGAAACCTTGACAAAAATTCACAGCCACAAGAGATAATGCAAAATCAAGAATTTAAAACTGAGTTGACATTGCAGTTCAGGTTCAAAACTGCTAGGAGATACACAAAATCCTTTGAATAAAGATTTAGTTACCTGTTTTTTGGTTGGTCCACCTTTCTTGAAAGCACCAAAAGAGAAGATGTGTGGATACTGGGGGGGGAAAAAAACAAAAAACAAAAAAATCTTTATTTTATTGTCTCATTGATAATTGAAGTGGGACAATGGCTAAGGGAAGTCAAGGTAACAACCCAAGTCACATCATTGCATCTAAATTCAAACAAGTAGCCACTAAATAAAGATCACTATGAGTTAAAATGGTCTCAGCCACCTGAGCAACTTTTTACTTTAAAAAAAAATACAAAAATTAGTTTAGCGCTTGTATCTGAGAATGCATTCAACACCCTTTTCAATACGATAAGGTCACTTATGAGTCTGGACCTATAGTACATCACTTATTACCAAATGGACCATGCCAAATAAATGGAGGGCCATGAAAACTCCCAAAACAACCCAAGTTCAACAAACAAACGGTTAGGGACTCAAAACCAAGGTCATTCACATTATAAATAGTCCAGCATGATACCGGCTACAGTGACACAGCGTCATACACACAAATCAATGAGCTCACCTTCATCAACAAAGACTGGCCAAGGGAGAAGCTGGTCATGAGGGCAAAAATAACAGCAAAGACCATGACACCAAGAGCAGCTCCGAGACTTTTGCACGCCACATAGGGGCAGAACTCAATCTGAAATGACAGACACAAGAAAGGCCGACAATTATGAAATGAGAGGGCAAAAAAAGTATACAACAAATTCATTACTCCAAACACAATGGCAAGGTGATCTAAGATGGTTGAACATGAACAGCTGATGATAATTACAAGGTATGATATTACTTGAATCATCCATTGAAAAAGATAAGGCATGAGATACCCTTAGGTATAGTAATAGTAAGGTACGATTAATTTTCTTTTTTCGACGCAATGTGATATGTGAACATAATGTACATCACAAAAGCACAAATAATTAGACTATTTGTGTGTTGAAGCTTCTGAAAGTCTGCAGTCACATTTTGTGACACTGAGAAATTCCCTTGCATTTAACTTCAATTTTTCCTAACTTAATTTCAAGTTGTTTTTTTTAAATGCTACAGTCCTGAGTTACTGGGCAAACTTTAAAAAATCCTTTATTTTTACTATAAAAAAAACTGAAGTCCACAATAAAGGCCTTCAAAAGATGAAGCAGAAGAAACTTCATAAATAATTATGAAAGTCTGAAGGTAGACAGCCCAGCAGCACCTTTCAACCACCCACATGCAAAACCTCTGAGCAGCAAGTTCATGTATGTATATTTACAGATACTGTGCTTCTTCCACAAAGCACTCAAGAAAGTTGACAAGTAGATTCAGGCATCTAACAAAATAAAATCAATACCAAATAAAGTTATTTTTTCAGAAGAGACAATGTTCTAAGCATATTTAAATTCCATTTTTTTAATTCAGTAATTTCATACTTCAGTTCCCTTTATTTGAGTATGTCCCACGGCACTATTGACAAAATTTCTTATTTCTGAAACAAGCATTTTCTCTGGGAAGAAAATCAAAACTAAGTAACATAGTACATACTGGCTTTTCCAGTCTGTCAGTAGACAAGAGATTCCTGATTGTCCGTGTGACAACGGACTTGTCGCTCCCAGGAAATGGGAGGCACCATTTGTTCACTTCTTTACTAAAGAACAAAGTGGACCTGAAAATAAGACCAAATGTCAAGACTAAGATTAGTTTTAGTGGGAGTTTTACGGCACTTGCAACGCAATAAGGTCATAAAAGTGCCAAAGATTAGATATTACAAACACAAAAAAAGATGGAGGGGAGATTAGGATGACAGATGTTTGATAGGAAAAAAGGAGCAAACCACACCAGTGTATCTGCCAAGCAACCACAATTTCAAGGATGAATCAAAAAGACATGATTTCTGAAGTCATTACAGAGTAGCATATCTTGTCTAACAAAAGCACTGATGCTCTGAAATTTGAATGCAAGTTGTTGCAGCATAAAAATTCTGTAAATTATAGGCTATGCCTTAAAAACATGGGTCATCAGAAGAAATAAAACAATCCAGATATTATTATGTAATGCCATGAAGAAAAACGATTACAAACTTGTACCACATAATTACGTCAGTGTAAGTCTTGTCCATATAGTCTAGGATTTAAAACAATTGTTGCAACACAATAAGGTCATATTACTGCCGAAAATTAGAGGTGTTACAAGAAAGTAACAAACAAAAAAGGAGAGATAAGGACGATAGAAGTCTGATAGAAAGAAAGGAGCAAATCACACCCGAGCAAATACCAGTCACCCATGTTTTGACTCGGGCTGAGTATCCATGGCACGATCAAAGTCAAAACAATAATTCTCTTCATAAAGTTGTTTGCCTGTTTTTTTTCCTGATATGTTATATAACATGATATACAGGAATAAAAGTAAGCTCATATTTGCTTTAAATTTAAGCTCATTACACAAGTACACTCACCTTTTAGGGAGTCTGAAGTCATACTTGGGCATCGGGTCTGGGAACAAAGACCTTCTCAAAGGCTTCAGCTCTTTAGCATGAGCAAAACCATGAATAGCCGACTCCAAGGTGCCCGTGTTGATGGCTGCACCCTAAAATAATTGGGAAACCTTCAACAAAAGGCTCACGAAAATGAATTCCGCTACAGTTTCAATTCAAAACAAGATGAAAATGAAAACGTGGCACCAATAGTTCATCAGAAGCATGGAGGAGGCAAAAGACAAGCAGATTGCTGACACAATCTTTAGAGCTTACATCACTCGGAAGAAAATGTAAAGACAATAACCCAATTTGGCAGGGAAATAGGAGTTATTATGCAATTTCTCAAATAAAGCAACTGGACACTTAGTAAATAAAAATCTCAAGAACATAAAACAAACTCAATACACGAATAAAATCTTTTTTTTTTTTAGGTAATTGTTTATTGGTGCTCGCAACTGAACAAGGTCATATAAGCGCGCTTGACACACTAAATATTTTCAGTTGAAAGGAAATTTGGAATTTTCCCCCTGTGGCGGCCGAAGCCTATTTTTATCAGTTTTGGACCACCATGGAATCTTTAACATGCGTAACTTGCACACGGGACATCCAACATTTTTCGCCCTTGTTCGAGAAGGCTAGATGTAGATCTCTCCTTCCAGAGGATCAGTGCGAGGCTGAAAGACTGCCATAAGAAGGAGCTAAGGAGAAGCAGCAGAAAGAGTCAGGAGCTCAGAAGAGGGGGGAAAGGGAGTGAGGAGATGGAGGTAGACAGTGGAGACGACAGAACATTGTTAGAGAGCAGGAAAGGATGTGAAAGGAGAAAATTTTAGAGAAGAAAATTTCCGGAGAAAATTTTAGAGAAGAAAATTTCCTGCTGCTATCCGAATTCGAACCTGGGACCTATTGAATGAGAGGCGAACACCTTAACCTCTAGACCACAAGAACCGCCCATCATTTTAACGACCTAGATTTGTAGAAACCTTTAGCACTAAAGCCCTTACTTTTCAAACACATCTGATCAAGAAATAAGTGCAATAGTTCATCCAATGGTCATCCTTACAAGTAATCACCTCAGGTGCATCCAGTCACTTTGCCCCACTTCCATGTCAACTGTACAACTTCCAGTTACAAACAGTCGACCATCATCTTTATTTTGGTAAGAGTTTTACGGAACTTGCAACACAATAAGGTCATTAAGTGTAGAAGATCAGAGGTGCTACTTGAGAGTAACAAACACAAAAACAGAAGGAGGAGTGATCAGAACGATAGATGTTTGGTAAGAAAGAAAGAGCAAACCACATCAGAACACCCACCAATCACTTACAACCATCATCTTCTCCATTGAGAAAATTATAAAACTTGAGAATGCACTTTGTTCCACAAACACAGACTATCTTCAACTCCTCATATCAAACAACAACATAACTTAAAAGCATGGCTGGAAATATGGGTGAAGTTTGGTTTAGTGGTCACTGCATAAAAAACATCATCTAACACATTGCTCAAATTCTTTCTACTCATTACAAATAATGATCACACATCTTTATCTTACTAAAAACTTACATCATTGCCAGTCTCAGTTGTCAGAAAGCTTTCAACATTGGAGAGTTGACCTGTAAAAATTTTTAAATAGAAATGAAGGTGTAACCTGTAATAATAGGGGATTTCACCGCTCATGAAGACATTCTTTATGGAATGCGTCTCAGATACAGTAGAACTTTTCGAAAAAATTAGTGACACTCCAATTCACAATTCAAAAATGCACTTACAAATCTTTAGCAACCTTTTCAGTGTCTTTAACACAAGTCAGTCAGATTGTATATTCTTTCTTCTCTCCACATTTCTCAAATGTTAATAAAGTGAATGAAATGTTCTTGACTCAGCTATGAAATATATTATTAAGTGTGCTGGCCCATGAGGAATATTTGGAAATAAAAACCTGTTACGTTTTAGTTAAGAGTTTTACAGCACTTGAACAAAAATTGGTCATTATATGTCCTGAAGATTAGATACGTTAAGTACTAGAGAACAGCATACAAAGAAAAGAAGGATAGAAAGGATGATACAAGTTTGATAGGAAAGTAGACCAAATCACACCAAAGTGCCAATCCATCACCCATCTTTATAAGAAAATAGAACGAGAAATTAAAACAGGAAAATCACAAGTAACATGGAGAAATATTTCAAAGTTCTGACCGCTGATGAACCACACACAGCATAACCACTTTTCTCTAGGCATCTGCCATCTGCCCTTAAAATGGTATTCTGCCTGAAGTAGTTTTCACATATATATTCTTCCCCTTATGACTCCAAAGTAGCGTATGGGAAGCGTGTTGACAAAATTAGTTATGTTTCATATTCAAGCCTAATGGAAATAGATGCATCACGCTTAGAGGTGAAGTTTTGATAATTTATAAGTATGAAAAAATAATAAAAGGCAAGCTATACATGAAGAATATGGCGTCCACAGAAAATCTAGTTTGACCCTAGTGTCAATTTTTGGCCAATATCTCCATTTGTGGATTGCGAGAAGTAACTAATTTTGTCCCAACCCCTCAAATACCTCAAAGCTATACGTACCTCCAGTAAACTGCTTCTGAGTATACAGCATGCCCATTTCTGCTGGAATACTGTCAAAGCCAACAGCTCCAATCACAAAGACACCATTTTCTTTTGCCTTTCCATTGTACATTAACTGCATCTTTTCCAGATACTTGAAAAGGATGTAAAGAAAACAAATCCATCACCACAAAATACTGTTTTGTTTTAACATTTTTAGTAACTCTAGAGCGTTTTGATTATTAAATTCTAATAATAGCACACTTAAGTCCCTGAACACAGTGGAGACACTCCAGGAAGTAAATTTCAAGCCGAACTAAAACATGATAATAGACTATTACTATTACGGTAATGATATAGTCACAAGCATGCAAATGGACACACAAAAAGCATTTTATGGGAAATTCATGCAGTTCACACGTGAAATTTTTCATCTGACTACCACAAACAGCACAAGATAAGACGCATTGCTTCACACACCTGTCGCATCAAAAGTCAAGATGTAATACAATAGCTTTATTAAGGAAACTAAAAGTATTGCTCTGCAATCACCAGTGATAATGTAATGTAACTTATATACAGCGAGTCGGTATAAAAAGTTTTTAAAAATCATTGAGGTATAAACTTTTCCACAGAAGTTCAAGGACAGATACAACTCCTAAAGGAATAAACCCAAAGCTTTGATGCAAAGACTGGAATACCATCCACATAAAAATGAATCATAAAAATCAAACAAAAACGTCAGGATTATTTACACAGGGTGTGGGTTAATAAATCTAATATTCTAATTTTTTTTTTTACAAATAATAAAGAATGATCATTACTGATGAAAGAAAATGAATTACTTAGAAATGATTACTGAAAAACAGCTTTTACCTGTGGCTCTCCACTGATATCGAGATGGTGGGCACCACCTTCAACACATGCCTTGACCACTTGCTCTCCATAGAAGCGATACTGGGAGGAAAAATCAACAGCACTTAACACAGTATGACATTACTGCATTAAAAGAGTAACTATCCAAAGGAATTCAGACCGAATTTATCAACTAACATAGCACTGAGTATTTCATCCCACAGTAATGTAAATCTAGGCCCTGAGGAGGCTATAGTAAGTCCACTGGGACCCAAGACATATCCCTATTACAGACAAACCCTACACTAGTCGGAGTCAAGTTTACGAGACTAAATCGAGAACTAGGAAGAAGAAGAAGAACATACACTTACTGATGCGCTTAATCAATGGAATTATAATTTTATTACATAGATTACCCACTGCCAGTTCATCAGGTATTGCTCTTTTCTTTTCCAGTGATTTTGTGTCTTTTTTTTTCTATTACTTTAGTCTAGTGGAGGCTCACTAGACATTTTGTGTAAGCAACAATAATAATGATTGCATATTTAACTTATTTTATCCTTTCTCTATCCTACTGCATGCTCTGTGCACTTTAGAACTTTTTGTAACCGAATAGCTATCATTTGTTGGGAAAAGGAACACGCATAGATCTGGCTGCAGCAGATCTAGTGCCCAGTGCCTACTTTCCATTCAGTTATTTATTCCCATTACAAGTCTCACCACTCCATGGAGAGACAATGTGACAATGTGGTGCCACACCAAGGTCACATAAGTCACTGATTGGAAAATTTGCGTCAACACCACCAAAGTGCATCCAGCTTTCCCCCTCCCCCGTTACTGCATACACATATAACACATAGAATGTGAATCAACTTAGACCTACAAGGAGTCGAGTAGGTACAATTCGCCAAGCTAAATTTTTCCTTCATTTGATATTTTTCTGCTTTCTTGTCCATTTGTTTTATGATTTTGTCAATGGTTTGACCATTATTACAGCCAAGCATATCGATCCAAATGCCTGCCATAAAAAAACGAATTTTTTACCATAGGCCTACAGTATAAGAAAACAGACTGGGAGAATTACTGTAAGCCTGCTATTGTCAGTATCCTGCTATTACCCAGTTATGTGAGTCCATCAGTAACAAAGAGGCTTGCAAAAATGTTGAAAGTTAGTTTTAGTAGAGGTGTTACGGCGCTCGCACCTGCATAAGGTCATATGAGCGCCAGAAGATTAGAGGTGTTACAAGAGAGTAACAAAAATAAAAAAAGAAAGGGAGAAAAAGACGATAGATGTTTGATAGGAAAGAAGAAGCAAACCACACCAGAGCACCTGCCAACCACCTACAAAATGTTGAAAGGTGACAGACTTTACAGCTGGGCCCAAGATAAGGACACTTAGAAAGGAACCAGACTTTCTCTCTCAGTCACTTCAAACATGAACAGTCATTTCCTTAATTGAGCAAAGAACACCAACCCATCCCATGATACCAATGACAACTCTTACTCCATGCCACAGAGACTAAAAATACACAGTTTAGTTTTAGTAAGAGTTTTACAGCACTTGAAACACAATACAGTCATATTTATAAGTGCTGAAGATTAGAGGTGTAACAAGCGAGTAAGAAACACACAAAAAAAGGATGTTTGACAGGAAAGAAGGAGCAAACCACACCAGAGCACCCGCCAACCAGCCACAAAAATACACATTTCCCCATGCATGTAAACAAAGCCATCTAAAACCAGAGTAAAGCAGAGTGAGTAGACATTAAAATCAACATGCAGCAGCTGTGACAAGAAAGAGAATAAACACCACAGACTACCCTGTACTCAAGTCTCTGGATCATCACACTATCTCATCTACAACCCAGATAGGAAAGATTATTATCATATTTCCTTTTGATTTTAGATTGTCGAAACATATTACATCCCTATATAATATGACATTGTTCTTTCAAGCAAAATGAAAAAAAAAGTGGGTTGTTTTTTTTAGTAAGAGTTTTACGGCACTTGCATCACAGTTAGGTAATATGGGTGCCGAAGATTAGAGGTGTTACTAGATCAAGATAGTAACACAGATAAAACAAAGAAGAGAGAAAAAAGTATGACAGTCCAGAAGTTTAATAGGAAAGGAGCAAACCACAATAAAGCACCCACCAACCACACACAAAGGGAAAAAAAAAAACAGGACGATAAACAGAGACCATGAAAAAGGGAACATCAGTAGTGTCTCTCTAAAACTCGTATTAAAAAGGGAAATACAGCCAAACCGGTCAAATACAACCATCCGTTGTTTTCGAGAAAAGTGGGCCTCTTAGGCAGGTGGTCCTCTCGGACAGGGCCATTTATATCTTTGAGCTGGTTCAACTGTACTTCTTCCAAACCCTCACTTTATGTATAATTTATGCTTTGAAGTATATCCACGGTATACTACTATACTTTCCATTTAATTCATCCAATTCAGTTATTCAAAAACCTAATATTATTGGTAACATCATGTTTCCTTTTTTTTGTAAGTGTTTTGCGGTGCTCGCAGTTGCATAAGGTCAAACGAGCGCACGGGGCACACATTAAACATTTTCAGTGGGTAGGAAATTTTGAATTTTGCCCGGGAGGGGCGGCCGAAACCTACTTTTATCGATTTTAGACCACCAAGGGATCTTTAACGTGAGCAACTTGCACACGGAACCCCCAAGATTTTTGTCTTTGTTCAAGAAGGTTAGGTGTAGATCTTTCCTACCAGAAGATCAGGGGTGTGGCAGAACGACAGCAGTAAGAAAGAGCCAAGGAGTAGCAGTAGAAAGGCTGCAGAAAGATTCAAGAGCCCAGAGGAGGGGGCAAAGGAGGTGAGGGGGTTGGTGGGGGCGGAAAGTGGAGACAAAAGCAGATGACAGAACATTGCTAAAGAGCAGGAAAGGAGGTGAAAGGAGACAATTTTAGAGAAGAAAAATTTTTCCACCGCTACCCAGATTCGAACCCGGGAACTTTGAATGAGAGGCGAACGCCTTAACCTCTAGGCAGCGAGAAACCCCCCCCATAGTGAATAAGAAACTACAAACAGAATGTAATACACTATTATAACACTTACGGGACCAACACAGTTTAGGACAAGTTTTGTCTGTTCGGCCATTTCCAGCAAAGACGTAGGACTACCAGTGTCAGCAATAACAACAGGGACTTCTTCCAAGTTCATTCCTGGAAGAAAAAAGTGAATTTCATTCAATGACTTTGAAGTTAAAAAGTATTCAAAAAGTACAAACATGAAATTTTCAGAGACTGAGAAAATCCTTTTAAGAAATGAAAATCAGTACACATTTTATTTTGAAAGGAGCACAAAGAAGGGAAAAGGGCTTTTAAAAGAATTCACAGATGAGAGGGGCTCGGGGAGTTTCAGCCAATATAATAGAACTCAGAGACACACTAAAAAAAAAATGATTCTGTAATAAATCCATTGTGTACTCATTAAAGCTCCAGATACCATTAAAAAATTTTATCCAAAAGCTACACTTCTAAGTTACAACACGTAAGTTTTCCAAAGTAATATATTAAGAGACATATTTATTAAGCATAGGCCTACCCACACTAGCCATTCAGATGTACAAAAAGCGAGTAATTATTCCATTTGAACTTGCATCACAGGCTGAGCAAGTAAAAACCACTGATGCTTCTCAATGTTTTCTTTTTTCTCAAAAGTGACAATATTTTTTTTCCTGGTAAGTGTTTTACGGTGCTCGCAGCTACATATGGTCATATGAGCACACAGGACACATCTTTTCAGATGGTAGGAAATTTTGAATTTTGCACGGGTGGCGGCTGAAGCCTACTATCGATTTTGGACCACCAAGGGATCTTTAACGTGAACAACTTGCATGACATGGGACCTCCGAAATTGTTCGCCCTTGTCCGAGAAGGCTAGGTGTAGATCTTTCCTACAATATGATCAGGGGTGTGGCTGAAAGACAGAGCAGTAACAAGGAGCCAAGGAGTAGCAGTAGAAAGAAAGACTGCAGAAAGAATCAGGAGCCCAGAGAAGGGGGCAAAAGAGGTGAGGGGGTGGGGGAAGAAAGTGGAAACGAAAGCAGAAAACAAAACATTGCAAGAGAGCAGGAAAGGAGGTGACAGGAGATGATTTTAAAGAAGGAAAATATATCCATTGTTATCCGGATTCGAACCCGGGACCTATTGAATGAGTGGCGAACACCTTAACCTCCAGGCCACGAGAGCCCCCAATGACAATATCGAAAGCACATGAAACACAGTTCTAAAGTAACAATAGGGCCTATGTATGCAGGCTGGCTCAGCAGAGAGTGTAGACAACTTCCAAAAGTCAATGTGCACTACACGGTAGGCTAAAATACTTGCCCATGATGTTGATTACGATGGTCTTATAAATTAAATTGCCGAATTTCTTTTATAGAAAGCATTGATTCTTAGCTCCTTTAAACAATTCTGTGTCCCAAAATCAGCAGTCATGAAAGGACTTGGTTGGGACTAAGGGCCTAGACAGACGAGATATAAAAATGGCAATACAGTAGGCCTTAAGCTAATTTTTTTTTTTTTTATAGAAGAATAGGAGGGGTGGCTCAAGCAGAATTTCTCCTCAATCCTTGACAAGTGTAGTGTTGCCTGCTGAAATTGTTAAATGAAGTGGCTAGCCGGCTAGACTGAGAGTCTAGCCATACTTAGATCTAGGTTTGGCCCTAGTCTAGCCGTACTTAGATCTAGGTTTGGCCCTATCGACTCAAGCCTGTTAAGTACACAGGTCTCAGATCTAGATCTAGTAATTATTCAGGTTCAAATACATGCAAGTCAGTAAGGCACCTTTTGGTTTTGTCTGAAATACAAATACTTTAGGCATTGCAAACTAAAAATTTCATTTACAATTCAGCCATCAATATTAAGTACGGCTAGACTGACAGTCTAGCCGTCCTTAAGTACGGCTAGCCTGGCTGTCTACCCGTACTTAAGTACGGCAAGACAAGAAGTCTAGCCGTACACTTATCTTAGGCCCTATTAACATTAGAAAACAGGAGGTTTAAAATAATGCACTGTCATTAAGGTAAGGCACCTGGTTTCGTCTCAAATACAAATACTTTAGGTACTGCACACTAAAAATGTATATTTACAATTCAGTAGGCCTATTTTTTGTAAATGGTGAGTCTAGCCATCATATTAAGAATAAGTACGGCTAGACTGGCAGTCTAGCCGTCATTAAGTACAGCTAGCCTCTTCCATTGTTAAATTATAAGTAGCCTAGGGCCTGGAAATCTAAATCTAGATTCTAGATCTAGATACTCTGTCTCTTGTTCTATTTTCCATCGATAAAAATCAATAATTTTTAGGCCCAACTACTAAACTAATGTGGGGGCGGGCGAAAAATAATGACAATTTTAATGTAAACAAACCAAACGTCAATCATCAATGATTCTGAAAAGTACTTTTTAATTTTTGTAATTACCTGTACGCTGGGATGCATCACCCAGGACTTTCTGCAGCTTGTCCATATTTCGTCCAGAAACTGCCCATTTCAGTCCCTCTTCTTCTGCAACGCGGGCGACTTCGTCCACAACATACTGACCGGTAAACCCAGACGCTCCAAAAACGATCATGTCATACTTCCTCGTAGGGCTCGAACTTGAAGCCATGGCTGCACCTTCGACCGATTCAGCGTAGTCAAAAATCCCTGAGAAAACCTTAAGACGTTAAGGATCGACCTTGATCTGATGCACTTATAATCACAGTGGTGTAACACACAGTAGATTGTTCTCGAGTTCACAGCCTGCACTTTTAGTCCTTTCTGCTGAAGTTCTACTTTAGGTGGCACGAACCTGCCTTCCGTCAAAGGAGTGATCTCCCGTTATTCTATTCGATATTATCACACAACGTTACAGTATCGAGTTAAGTAAACAATGTTTTACATCAGGTATTTTCAAGTAGAATTATGAAATCTTCCGATTTTGTTCTGTTTGAAGAATATTGAAGTTACTCTTTCAGTTAAACAATGTTATTAAACATTTTGTTGAATGAAAATGTGTCATGTTTAAGGCGGTCATGCCAAACGAGCTTGGGAGTATCGCGATACTAGTAAAATTCAATGTTTTCGATCTGCGCATACCAACGCCGTGACCAACGTTGAACTTGATCACTGAGCAGAGTTCACTGACCTCTGAACTGTTGAACTTTCACGTTATTGTCACACAGGGTCAGTTCATAGAGCAAAATCTCAGACAGGATGGGTGAGTATTTATTTGTTTTCGTTCTTATTTTTCCTTTTCGGTTTTGGTTTAGTTTAGAGTTGCCGCATTTTATTTATTTAATTTATTCAATTTTACTTTTTGGTTTGTTTTTTGGTTTGTTTTTGTTTCGACCATTGTTTGTTGGTATTTTATTGCGTGCGTGCGTGCGT